TTTTTTTTTTTTTTTTTTTTTTTTGTGCTGGGACCTTCCCTGTTCCTTGCACGGCTGGGCCACCCGGGGAAACAATGTGACCCGCGCGGCCCGGCTGGTAGCCTAGGTAGTAAATACAGCTTGTCCACTGTATATATGAGGAGAAGACAGCTGTGCGATGAACGAGCCCTCACACTGGCCACGAGGTTGCGGCCTCCACATGCCCTACGGGGCCCCTAACAAGCAATGTGCCTGCCCTAAGTGAAGGCGGCCCTACGGGGCCCCATTTTTGTCAATTCTGCAATGTTGGGTGCCAGACAGTTACCACGCGCCAGTTGGTTACAAGGCAACACCTGTGTGAGCACGGCATGGTGAGCCTCTCCACGAGTGACGTGGCCAGAGGCTCTCGGCCAATGAGAGAACAGGTAGCGACGTGGCTGGGGGCCCGACGGCCAATGAGGAAACAGCGAGTGACAGCAGCCACGTTGCACAGTTGGGCTGCCTCACTGTTGTGGGTTCAGGCAACTGTCTGCATGGGCCTGGGCGCAGACACTTTGGCCCAACGTGAAGAAGCTACTGGGCACACCCATGCCAGGCCCAGGCAGCCAGAGGCTGGGCTGCACTTTCCTTATAGGGAAGTGCCTCGCCCAGCGGAGGATATTCTGGCCTTGGCAGGCGACGCGGCCACGCTGCTGCTCTGTAGAGTGAGCAGGCTGCGCTAGCGATGGCTGGCTAGAGGTGCACGCGGGCGCTGTGAGGTGTAAGGGGTGCTGCGGTGGCAGCGGGCGCACGGCGGCCATAGCCGGGCTGCTGGGGCGCATGCCAGCGGGCGACGGTGCTCTTCGGGAAGGGGAGCCGCATGCTGTGAGGAGTCAGGGGGTGATGAGGGGAGAAGAGGCACGTACCTGGTGTCTGCTGGCAGTCTGCGTTTGGCGACGTCGTCGTCACGTACATTGGTCTTCAGCTCGAAGTGACTCCGGTTGCAATACGTAGTGTAGGCTAGTCTACGCTGAGTAGGATAGGCTGGACGCAGAGCGCCAAACGAGATGAGCGACATTGGATACTATGTTGGTGTCGCGAGAGAGTGGCAACATTGACATTTCAGTTCATTGTCTTGATCTTATTTGGATGCTATCTCGATGCATTGTGCATTCTGCTTAGTACAAGACTATCTGGTCTACAGCGTGACATTGCAATTTGGTTTTCTGTCTCTCTCCCTCTCGCTCATATTCCTTGCGGCTGTATTTCAGACTATTTTTTCTTTTTTTTTAAAAAGAAAGAAAAGAAAAGCTTTCTCAATCTTTCATTTAAAAACAAAAATTGTCATCTTCTTGGATCAATCGATAAACCAACCATTCCATCCACATCCAATCAATCAATCAATTAGACAATCCAATCAAGCAACATTGAACTTGATTGAAGTTGATGATTAAACGGATTTGATTAATAAAACGATGGTTTAGACGAAAGACAGATATACCTCCCAATAGATTTTCCCACACACTGTGCATTGCCAAAACTCATCGTAAATTGCCTTTGTGCAGGTGGGGACCACCTGTGATCCTCTAGCCGCCAGAGCTGCCTGTTGCGCTGTCAGTGGCACTGGATTAAACGCGCCATTGCACTTTATGCATCTTGACAGAATTTGCCCCGAGCCTATCGACAGATGAAAGTGCGCCAAAACCTGCAAAATACAATGAGAATAATTGTGACAATGACCAGGGACTGAGGGGAGGGAAAAGTTTACAAGTTGACAGAAATAGAACACGATCCAAAAAAAAAAAAAA